TTGATAAAATCCAACACCCTTTCCTGATAAAAATTCTCAACAAGGTGGGAATACAAGGATCATACCTCAACATAATAAAAGCTATATATGATAAACCCACAGCCAACATCATACTCAATGGGCAAAAACTAAAACCATTCCCTCTAAGAACAGGAACAAGACAGGGATGCCCACTCTCGCCACTCCTGTTTGACATAGTACTGGAAGTACTAGCCATTGCAATCAGACAAGAGGAGGAAATAAAAGGCATCCAAATTGGAAAAGAAGAAGTAAAGTTATCCTTATTTGCAGACGACATGATATTGTATATAAAAAACCCAAAAGACTCCATTAAAAAACTAATTGACTTAATAAATGAATTTGGCAATGTAGCAGGATAAAAAATTAACGCCAAGAAATCTATGGCATTTCTATACACCAACAGCGAATTTATAGAAACAGAGACTAAAAAAGCAATTCCATTTACCATCGCACCAAAAAAATTAAGATACCTAGGAATAAACTTAACTAAGGAAGTAAAGGACTTATACGTGGAAAACTACACGACACTGAAAAAAGAGATAGAGGAAGATGTAAACAGATGGAAGAACATACCATGTTCATGGATTGGTAGAATCAACATCATCAAAATGTCCATTCTTCCTAAAGCAATCTATAGGTTTAATGCACTCCCTATTAAAATACCAACAGCATATTTCACTGACCTAGAAAGAACTCTCCAAAAGTTCATTTGGAACAATAAAAGACCCCGAATAGCCACAGCAATCCTGAGAAAGAAGAGTAAAGTAGGAGGGATCTCAATACCAGACTTCAAACTGTATTACAAAGCCACTGTTCTCAAAACAGCCTGGTACTGGCACAAAAACAGACATATAGATCAATGGAATCGAATCAAGAACCCAGATATCAATCCAAATCACTATGCTCAATTAATATTTGACAAAGGAGGCACAAATATACAATGGAATCAAGACAGTCTCTTCAATAAATGGTGTTGGGAAAATTGGTCAGATACATGCAAAAGAATGAAACTAGATCACCAACTTACACCATGCACAAAAATAAACTCAAAATGGATACAGGACTTAAACATCAGACGGGAAACCATAAAAATACTAGAAGCATCCACAGGCAACAAAATCTCAGACGTATGCCAAAAGAACTTCTTCATTGATACTGCCCCTAGGGCAATGGAAGCTAAAGAGAAAATAAACAAATGGGACTACAGCAAAAGAAACCATCAGCAAAACAACAAGAAAGCCCACTGTGTGGGAGAACATATTTGCAAATGTTACCACTGATAAAGGTTTAATCTCCAACATCTACAAACAGCTTATACAACTAAATAAAGGGAAGATGAATGATCCAATTAAAAAATGGGCAATGGACCTAAATAGAATATTTTCAAAAGAAGACAGAAGGAAGGCCAAAAGGCACATGAAAACATGCTCAAAGTCACTAATTATCCGAGAGATGCAAATCAAAACAACAATGCGGTACCATCTCACACTTGTCAGAATGGCCAACATCAACAAATCAACAAACGACAAGTGTTGGCGAGGTTGTGGAGAAAAAGGAACCCTCGTGCACTGCTGGTGGGAATGCAGACTGGTGCAACCATTGTGGAAAACAGTGTGGAGTTTCCTCAAAAAACTGAAAATGGAACTCCCATTTGACCCAGTAATCCCACTCCTAGGAATATATCCCAAGAAACTAAAAACACCAATCAGAAAGGATATATGCACCCCTATGTTCATAGCAGCACAATCTACAATACAATAGCTAGAATCTGGAAACAGCCTAGGTGCCCGTCAGCAGATGATTGGATCAAAAAACTATGGTACATCTACACAATGGAATACTATGCTGCCGTAAAAAAGAAGGAATTCTCATCATTTGCAGCAACCTGGATAGAACTAGAGAACATTATGCTGAGTGAAATAAGCCAGTCAATAAAAGAGAAATACCACATGGCCTCACTCATTTATGGACATTAAGAAACATTATAAACTGACAAACCAAAAGATAGATATAAAGACAGTAAAGCAACAAGCAGACTGTAAAATTACACCAGGGAGAGTAGGGAGATCTGGGGAGATAAGAGATCAACCGAAGGACTTGTATACATGCATATAAGTACAACTAATGGACACAAAACTCTGGGGAGGGAGGGTATGTGGGGGGGGGGGCAATGTTAAAATATGTACACAGATAATAATTTAATAAAAAAAATTAAAAAAAAAAAAGAGTTTAGATTCCCTATTCCTTCCTTTTTCCAGATGTACAATATTTAACCCCTGTGCTTCGAATTAATATTGCTTACCCTGCTACTCAGACTCATAGGGATAATTGTCCACATGGTGGTGAGACTCGGACATACTCTGGTCAAACAGCTGGCACACAGTGGCAGGACTGCCCTGACTGAGGGCCACTTAGGGTGGCCCCTCCCCAACTCCAAGTCACTAGAACAGAAACAGAGGTTTTAAAAAATAACATTGGTTTACTAATAAAATGGGTTTCACGTGATCAAGTCTGGACTGCAAGATGACCGCGAACCCACACACTGAGCGTTAGTTCCTCCTGGCCATGGTCGCATGAGCAGGCAGCCTGCTCCAGAGTTAATTCAGCTGTGCTTAACTCTGGAGTGTGTGTGTGTGTGTGTGTGTGTGTGTGTGTGTGTGTGTGTATATATATATATATATATATATATATATATATATATATGTACACACTTTAACAATTTCACTCCTTTGTAAGTTTAACTGATTTGAACAAAGAAAATTTATCCTAAAGTGCACTAGACTTTTTTTTACGGGGATACATAAAAGATAGTGTGCGGTAGCAGTTGATGAATTAAAGGCACACAACTACCTAACAAAATAATCCCTGATGTTTGTGATTCCACTGCTTCACTTATCAGCAGGGCCTGGACCAGAACGGCCATCAGTTTGAAGACAGGCATTGACAAAAAAATTAGTCATTCTTGGATTCCTTTAAATTTTGAAAATGAAGGGTGTACTATTAATAAACACTGACTTTATAATCATTCCAAGTGTGTGTACATTTTTGGGACATGCTGTATACACTGAGTATGTGCTGCTCGGATACCTGGCAGCCGGGGGGAGCCGACAGTGGTCCCGACAGTCTGGCTTGCCCGTCCTCTAGTGCCGAGTCCGGGAGTGTGCCTGTGGCTGCCACCTAAGCGGCCGCGCTGTGAACCTGACCCACAAGCCCCCCCGCCCGCCTGGACACCAGCGCCCTGCATGTGCTCTCCTGGAAAGCGGGGAGCTGGAAGTCCCTGCGGGGAGACCCTATCAGATAAGCTCGGAGCCTTTGTGCAGCGCAGTCTGGAAACTAAGACGTGCGAGTACAACTACAAACTGACGTGTTTCATTTGCTGGGGCACCCGGGGCCACTTATGGAGCCTGGCGGGGGTTTTTAGGAGGAAAACTGGACAGGCTGAGCAGCTCAATTCTCAAGCCTCGGAAACATCAGCCACGTTTGGGGGCCTTGAGAAAAAAGATAAGTATTTCCTTTCAGTAAAGCATCCTCGCATTTTCTTTTGGCTCTAAGGGGAAGGGGTAGCAGAGGGGTGAAGGTCAGGAGTTGAAAATATTATTTGACAAAATGATTATTTTTGCAAGTGCCGCACTGGTGCCACAGAGATGGGGGGCTTGGCACGAAAGAGTCCTCGCTCGTAATCTGACCCCCCCGCCGAGCAGCCCACCACCTGCACCGGGGCCGGCAGAGGGGGGGCGGCAGGCCCTGGCCGCTAGCCATGCCACCTCTCTTCCCGGCTGGATCAGACACGGCCTGTAACCAGCCAGACATTTAAAAAAAGAAAAGAAAAGACATGGGGAGAGGACACGGGGGTGGGGGGAGAAAACACTAAAATTTGGACACGGAGTCTTTTCAAACACTTTAATCCTTTCGTGCTGACGGTTCCTGGAGCGCCCGTGGCTGGCACGGGACCTGCACCGGGAAAACCCGACTCCCCGAGCCAGCGCTGAAGAGAAGGCTGCTAATCACCTAAATAGGAACTGGAATCTGTTCACATGCGGCCCCTTCCCCATCACCAGAGGGACGCCACGGCGCTCGGAAACACACTCTTGACATCATTTGGCAGGCAACCCCATTTCGTTGGACATGATTCATCCCTTAGGTTATTGTTTTTAATATTAGAAAGTGAGCTTTTAAATGCCAAACAAATTTATTCCAAGTGGTCTCACTGGGCCTTCCACCAACTGCGTCCACCAAATGGCTTAGAGACCACCTTCCTGTGGAGAAAGAGGCAGAGACAGCGCCGTCCAACTATTACCTAATAGGAGACTTTGTTCTCGGGTTCCCAGACAGCATCGCTGGGATCAGCTGAGCACGGGGATGAAGCCGCGGACCGAGCACTGCGAGTGTGAACTGTGGAGTGAGCACTGCGAGTGTGAGCCGAGGAGTGAGCACTGCGAGTGTGAGCCGCAGAGTGTGGAGTGAGCACTGCGAGTGTGAGCCGCGGAGTGAGCACTGCGAGTGTGAGCCGTGGAGTGAGCACTGTGAGTGTGAGCCGCGGAGTGAGCACTGCGAGTGTGAGCCGCGGGGTGAGCACTGCGAGTGTGAGCTGCGGAGTGTGGAGTGAGCACTGCGAGTGTGAGCCGCGGAGCGAGCACTGCGAGTGTGAGCCGCGGGGTGAGCACTGCGAGTGTGAGCCGCGGAGTGTGGAGTGAGCACTGCAAGTGTGAACCGTGGAGTGAGCACTGTGAGTGTGAGCCGCGGAGTGAGCACTACGAGTGTGAGCTGTGGAGTGAGCACTGCGAGTGTGAGCCGCAGAGTGTGGAGTGAGCACTGCGAGTGTGAGCCGCAGAGTGTGGAGTGAGCACTGCGAGTGTGAGCCGAGGAGTGTGGAGTGAGCACTGTGAGTGTGAGCCGCGGCGAACACGTGAGCAGTGAGGCCGGGCGGCCCGGCGGCGACAGAAACGGCTGCGGCTACAAAACCTGTTACTCAGACATACCTCCTGTCCATGTTGCCGCTGACCATGAGGTTGGGGGGGCTGTCCCTGAGGTTGACGCAGGAGAAGTCGCCAAGCGTGTTGCCCAGCTTCGAGAGGCAGCGTTCTGCTTCCAGGCTGTAGACCAGGATCTGGGGAGAAGGAACATGCGGGTGCCGTTACAGACGGCAGTCCTACACCCACACGCTTTGTTTCTGCACTTCCAGGCAGCCTCGCCCCAGCCCCTAGGAAAGACGCTCTGCCACTCAACACCCTGACCTGGTCACACTCTGACCTTGTCCAGGGAGTGAGATTGTAGACACAGGGCTGTTAGAACGACAAAAGGAAATGCAAAAGGAAGTGAAGGGAAATCCAGAGAATTCCTCAGTCCAAGGTGCAAACTCAAAGGACACACAGAAAAATGCCAAAAGAAGAAATGAGGTTTGCGTTTCCTAACAGAGAAAGAGGCGTGGAAATGAGGGTCACTGGCGTCGCCTGGTTTGGAATTGATGGGAAAGGAGCAGGTGCAGAAGCATGCAGCCAGCCATGCGGGTTCGTTCTTCTTCCGCTTCCTGTATTCATACCACGGGAGGTACAGGAAAGAATGGTCCAAACATCCAGGAGAATGAAGCCTGCACAGTGAACCACGAGATGAGTCCTTTAGACCAAACGCCACACCCAAAGTCCTGGTCCCCGTGCTTCCCTCTTCCCTCTCCACTTGCTCATTTTAAGGAGCTCTGTTCTGTAAGGTACGGGCGCAGATAAGAAGGTGGTCTTCATCTCTAGACAATATACTTGTTAAATGTAAACACTTCCGTGCCTTCTCTCCAGCAAAAGGAAAATAGATGATTCATAATCGTTCTAAGATTTAAGACTTCTACTAAAAAAAAACAAAAAAAAAACTTGGTAATTCAGTTCAACTTAATTAACATGAACTGCTTGCTATGGGTCAGTCACTGCTGTAAGTACCAAGGACGCAGTTCTTGCCCCCAAATTCACAGTCAAAAAGCCTCCTCATCAACACTGTTCGGTGCCTATTCATTTATCAAGTATTAGTATACAGGTCCTTATTTTAGTATTGAGAAATGAACAAATTGTCTCCACCTTGAACTTCATCAATCTCATTGTCAACACACATTTCTAACAAGTGAATCTTTAGAAATTCCTAATAATCCAGGCAACACTATAATACTATTGCTCACAGCAGCATCTGGAAGAGGGCGATTTCAAACTTTAACCCATAAAGACTAGAGTAAGCAAGATAAATGTTATTTTTATGCAGTTGAAAATAAAAGTTTCTGAGAAAATTTCAACAACTGTAAAATACCCAGAATAAGATTCTTCTTCCAAGTAAGAACATAGTAATAATCAAATCTTCTATCTACAGTGAATATCATAAAAATTGCATAAAATCAGCTCCTAGAAAGAAAAAAATTAAAAACAGCAACTTCATGGTCTATCATAAAAGTAGTATTTTACACCCATCATTACAGATCTTTCAGTAGGATTCTTGGACTCAATATATCTTGTGGTTTTTTTTTTTCTATTATTGTTGTGAATCCTTACCTAAGGATTTTTTCCCCCATTATTATTATTAATTTTTTTTTTAAGAGAGTAGAAGAGAGGGGGAGAGAGAAAGAGAAACACAGATGTGAGAGAGACACAGTGACTGGCTGCCTCCTGTACTGGCACCAATGGGTATGGGGATTGAGTCTGGAACTAAGTTATGTGCCCTTGAACAGATTTAAACTCGCAAGCTGACACATTGAGCAAACCAGGTAAGGCTCAATATCTTGTTTTTAAAATACTTCAACTTCTATATTCAGAAGGTAGGCCTTTAAAATATAAATATGCATAGTAAATATAAAGATTAAAATCTGAAATTGAGTCAGTTCCTATGCTTTACTTTTTCTAGTTATTTACAAGTGGATGGACCATTTCTGAGGGACACAGTGAGGTCGCATCCCTCTGCAGAGAGCCTCTGCATAACATCTAAGTTATCAGGACTCCAGTATCTACGATGCTTAGTAACTCAATGAATCACAACTATCCGAACAGTACCTGCACCATTGCGTTTAGTTAAAGACCACAGAGATTAGAAAACACATTACCCATCTTGGAGGCGGTTCTTTCCATGTTACAAATCCCTTAACGACCTTTACCATTCCTCCTGCTCCATTCCTCCTCCCTCCCATTCTCTCTCTCTTTTAATAAGGTTGAGCAAATGGGACTTCATTTTATCTGACTGCCACAGACTAGTGAGATTAATTATTCATGCTCACACTCTCCCTCTTGTTAAGACCATGCATTAGACTAATTTTTCTCTTTATTGCCCTAGTTGGGTGAGTATCAACCCATGGCACTTGACTCACCCTCAGCGGTGTAGGGATATGCTGGAAAGAAGGAAAAAACTATCCATAGCTACAATCTTGGAGAAAATATTCTGCACTAATGCGACCGCCAATCAATAGATGTTGCTGGGGATTTTTTCTTTTAAATGCCAAGTGGATATTACAAAAGAGCTTACATGGTGATTACAGGGCACATCTTTATAGGAGTCAAATGCTTCTTCGAGAATTTTCTAAAACAGGGAAGCCACGTTCAGAGTGGCATATATTTTGCAAAGATAACTACAGGAGATGTATGCTGGGTGGTTTTTCTTTCTCTTTAGCTTCCAGGCAGATGTAGAGGCACCCGGTGGAAGCAAACATTGTTTGAAAAAAAACTTCAGGGATCTTAAAGTATTTTCATAAATCCTAGTCTTAGAATCCTAACTTTGAATTTTATTCAAATTAATCTAACATAACAGAATTATATAACGAAACAGTAACCTTCTGTGCATCCACCTCTCAGAGATAACCACTTGAACAGCTTAGTGTATCCACTGCTAGACTTCTTCTATACACACCTGTCTATGTCTACCTGTCCCCTCCCTCTCCCTGTATGTGTATATAAAATTATTCTTTTCCATGAATGGGACTATTGTTCTACAATTTGGTTTTCCTACTAAATACCATGAGTGTTCTTTCCTTGTCAATACCTATAGGTAAATCTTGTTATTTTTAATGGCGGCATAGAATTTCTCTGTGGATATTTAATTCTATACTGGTAGATATTTGGGTTGTTTCTAATTTTTAGACAACAAAAATAATGCTGTAATTCCCTTAACAGCCAGGCAACAGTATTTACTAACCATCTTCAGTGTAGTGGGCTCTGGAATGACAGGGATGGTGGATGACGTGCAGAAGCCTCCGCCTGCTGCCAGCTGAAACCACCCACCTCTCGGCCAGCTGTGAGCGGCCACCAGCTGTCCTGCTCCTGCAGACGAGGGGCTCACCTCTCTGAGGACACCACCTTACAGCCATGTCCGAGCAGCTGGTGGTGTAAGCAGCAGGGACAGCCCTGTAGAGTCAGGAACAAGCCACAGGCCCAACATCTGGGAAGCGTCAGTCACTGTCCTGGTGCAGGAGGGCCCTGCACCCTCCAGGTGTGGCCTAGACCAGTGGTCAGCAAACTGTGGCTCTCGAGCCACATGAGGCTCTTTTGGCCCCTTGAGTGTGGCTCTTCCACAAAATACCATGGCCTGGGCGAGTCTATTTTGAAGAAGTGGCGTTAGAAGAAGTTTAAGTTTAAAAAATTTGGCTCTCAAAAGAAATTTCAATCCTTGTACTGTTGATATTTGGCTCTGTTGACTAATGAGTTTGCCGACCACTGGCCTAGACCATTTGGTGTGCCCAGGACTGGCTGTCCAACCAAAGCCTGAAGGAAAGAGCTGGGAAGTGACTGCTGTCCCTGTGGAGGGGTGAGCTCAAGGCAGGCCAACATCCTCCTTCATGCAGGAAGAACTGGATTTAGCACTGCAAACACATCCTACATCTAAGACCCATAAGCTGGAACCACGTGCAGGCAGAAATCGCCATGAACAGATTACAGAGCCTTGCAGTCCCGATTTTTGGTCACATGATGATGAATGAAGAAAGAAACCCCTTAGTGTTTTCTTTGGTTAAGTTTACAAAAATAGTCTTCCTGATGCTTAGTTTACCTGCCAAAGTCATTGTACCAACTGTACTATCACCCCGAGCAGCTGCTCACCTGCTAAGCACCCCAGCCCTGCCCTTTGGAAGGGGTAGGAGTGGTCAGGCTTCCTTACAAGACGCAGGACTGACACAGCTCTGTGAGCTACAGCTAACTTGCACACGGCCACTAAAGAGGGGAGGAATGACAGAGCACAGTGAGAGCTGCTGAGCTGGCCTGAAGCAGAGTGAAGAATAAAGGGCAGGGGGATTGATTGAAATTCTTGGAGATGACAAAGTCTACATACTTTCTTTTCTGACCTCTGGTAACCTGCCTCCATCACTACCACATATATTCTTCTCGTATGAGGGGGGAATCATAAGCAGCAGCCAAATTCTAGAGAGTAAAGCAGTTACCCCCACACTCTACCTTCCATCCCTATCAAGCTTATGTTGTGCTCCTGCTGTGCCTTCAGCACACAGAGCTCGTTCCCTCTGGTCAGGGCCAAAGGTACCCTGTCCACACACTTCACCTGGTGTTTCCAAGGTGCCACTGTGCCTTCGCTTCCTCCGGCCTCTCCCAGACCCGTGGTTCTTCAGCTCCAGGGCCAGGAGCGTCACCAAGGAAACTCACTTAGCAGGTCAGCTGAGGCTGCTACCAAGTGCCCACCATATGTGTAAGATGCTGGCCTAGACTTGGACTATCCTTCCTTGTGGAAGCAATCCCACATTCATTCTTGTAGCTCTGATTCGGTGCTCAGTGTACAGACAACTGCTCAGTACATGTTATCAGGGAAACCCAGAGCTTACCACAATCGGGGACACAATAAATACTCATTTCTTTTTTTTGCTTAATACCTGCCACCTCTAACACCCACCCATTTCTGGATGTCTAATCTTGCTGCTGTCATGTACAAAGGAATACTTCATCCTACTCAAACAGAAGGAGGTTCCACAATAACCACATTCTAGAACTGTAATATCCAGATCCTGGAAACTGTGTCCAGTTCTGAAAATGTGGCAGACTAGAATGCCTGGAAAACCCTGCTGTTTACAAATGCAAAAATGCTGGATAAGATTCAGTATCAATAAACATTCCTTCAACCTATCTGTTTTAAGTTCTAAGAAGTCAGAAAAAC